CCTCCTCCCCAATGCTCTTCCCTTCTTTTTTGACTTTTTCCTCACTTTCCTTCTCCTCTCAGCCCCATTCCCATTTTCTGCTCAGTTCTCACCTCTACCTTATGAAGGTCTGTTATTTCTCTGTTCTCATTTGGTTCATGTAGGACACACTGTGAAGCTCCCTGCAGTGCTGTCCCTTTGAATTGAGGACCCAGCTACCCAGGTACCCAGTCTACACCTGGACACCACGTGGTGATGACATCACTTCAACTGTCCTTGTGAAACCTTTGTAATTTACCTGGTTCACGATCAGTTACCAATATATGCTCAATGTAATCTTGCAGGGTTTGTTGTTCTGACCTGGCTTCTGTGAATTTACCTCTGAATCAAATAATATCCTAGCAAGCTCCACCTGGCTAGATATAATGGATCATCAGATGAATTTCAGGTGTCACTTCCTCCGGGGGTCCTTCCTGGATCCACAGTGGGGAGCCATCTCTCCTCCACCTGTGCATCCCCACATGTCACTGTAGTCCTCACTGCCTACTTCTGTGGCAGTTGTGTAGCTTTGTTTCTTCCTTTAGTTTTTAGAATATTGAGAGCAAAGCATGTACTTTTGAAGTATCTGTAGCCCTGGTGAAGTATCTGGAATAAAAACCTGTGTTGAATTAATGTAAGGTTTGCAGTTTTTTTTTTCTTTTGAAATTCTCTGTCTTTGTGTGCCACCTGAGTTGTAGTTGAGACATTTCATGCTGGGTAGAATTTCCCCAAGTCATTTTTCAGCACGTGAGAAACAAATCTAGGGATGAAATCATACAAACCAGAAGTTAGAGGAAACAAACTCACAGAAGAGTCCTGACCCACTGTAACCAAACCTGCATGACTCTGGGTTTCTCAGTCCTATTGGCCAATATGCTTCCTTGGGTTTTCTCAGGTCATCAAGTTGGGTGTCCTCTTGCTGGAGACTGAAATCGTCCTGCTAGATGCACACAGACGTCAGGGGACTCAGCTGATCTCTACTTTTGTGGCAACATCCTTTTATTTCCTTCTTCCTCCCACTTTCTTCCTGAAGTTGGCTATTCCTTAAAACATATCTCTTTTATTTTTAAAAATACAAGTCTCTATCTTTTTCAACTTTTATACTGCTTTGGTTTTAACTGTGGCATGTGGATTGGCCCCTCTCTGGGACATTTCATGATTTTTTGTCAAACCACTGACCAGGAACAAAAGTGGTGGTTCTGCTCCTGGGGAAGTGAGTGATTTTGAAAAGGTTCCTTATTCTTTTCTTCAGCTATATAAAGGCACGATATATTCTGTCAGTGTTTTGAGGGATGAAAAGAAAATTTTGCACAAGCATTAATAAGAAGATTCAAAATTTACAAAATAAACAAAGTATGTGAATAACCCACTCAGAGATGAAAACCCCTAAAGATGAAAGTATATAAATGATACTCAAATGCACTAGTCATTAGAGAAGTGAGAATTAAAAGAAAGTGTTATTTTACATTACCAACTTGGGAAAATCAGAAATCCAGAGAAACCCAGTGTACAAAGGAATGGGCAATAGCTGGACTCCTCCTGCATTGATGTGGTGAAGTGATTAGGGAGAGCTTGTGGCAGTGTCTTATCTAAGTATGTGCATGTTGTGCTTGAAATCCCACTTCTGAACATAATGTCTCCACAGTTCCACGAGGGAACATACAATGATGTTTGTCACAACAATTTAATGCTAAAAAGGTGTTAGAAGCATACCTGATATGTTTACCCTGTGGTAAACATGTTACCACTTTAGTGAAATGTGGTAGATGCACACTGTAGGGTTCTGTGTAGAGGCCAGACATTGGCTAGACGTAGAGTGATATGGGAAGGTCGTTAAGAGCATGGTAAATGAAATGCAATTATGCACGAAGCATCATTTTCTCCTTTTTTGTTACAATTCAAATTTTACACAAAAGCAACACATTTTAGAAGACCACAGATACAGAAGGATGATACATTAATATATTAAAATGTTGGGGGAAAGGAAAAAAGTGGGATAAAAAAATCAAATGGTTTGAATAGTTAAATAGAAGAAGCACAACTGGGAGGAGGTATAGGAAAAGGAAAGAGTGGAATGAACGTGATATAATTTTCCTATGTGTGTGTGTGTGTGTGTGTGTGTGTGTGTGTGTGTGTGTGTGTATATATATATATATATATATATATGCCACAGTGAGTCTCAGCATCATGTATATCCAAAAGAAAGGGATCTGAAATAAATTAATGTATATTCTATGCTTATATAATTATATCAAAATGGATTTTACTGTCATGTGTAACTAAAAAGAACCAGTAAAATGTGAAAAGAGCATTAGAGTGAATTATACTCATGAGGAAAATAATTAATACAGGAAAATTAGTAACCCAACAATCAGTAGTTAAGATTGCAAAGACAGAACAGAATGCACAAAAATGTTGTAAAATTATTATGCTCTGTAGGAAAAAGACTGAACTGTACTAACACATTGTGCCAGGGATACTTCTCAGGGAAAAATAATAAATGTATAAAGCCATATAAAATACTTAGATTTCTAAGTACAGAATAAAGTACCTGCAACATCAAAGCTCTCTGGTTGGTAATGTCAGGGTTTTTACAAACATTATGAAAGACCATAAAGTAGATTAATTTTTTATAATTTCCCAATGGTGGCATTAGTGATTAAAACAAAGTTTTAGCATCCTTATAACTTAAAAATGTATAGGCTTAAGCCCTTAAATAGCTTACAATTATCAATCAGCTTACAAATCCTTTATTCAATTTATAATAATTTATAGTACCAAAAATTATTAAAAATTACTTACAAAAATATGCACATAATATTAAAATGTATCAGTAATAATATCAGAATAGAGTCCAGGGGAATATATTGCCAATAAAATACAGAGAAAACTTAAAAAAATGAGGCCTATGATACCTTATTGACTGGTTGCATGTGGGTCACAATTATTAGGGGACCACAGATGATTAAGACAGGCTCATTCACATATTCACAGAGTCTGGAAGAAACAGACAATGAGTTGCTCAGGAGAAATGTCCTGGTCCTGAGGCCACATGGAGATTTTCCCCATCAGCTCTTGTACAGGAGAAACTGTTTGATTCTGTGAACAACATTCTCAGGAGAGTTGTTTTAGTAAATTTTATGAGATTCATAGTACTGCGTGCTACTGTCCCTTAAGGAACATGATTATATTAGTCTGAAGTAAGAATTAGGAAAAGTGATTTTATATTACACAACTAGACCTGGACCTGGGATGCAACTATCTGGTTTTCTGGCAAACTTAAGTGTAGATAGACCTTAAGTCATCTAATTGAACATATAAACTCCAAATATGCCACATAACTAGTTTAAATTATTTTTGGTGTAAGAGCAAATTTATTTTATGTGTTTAAACTTATTCATCATGATGTACGTGTGCATTTAATATGTACATATTTTAGACAAAAATACTTAAAACAGATGTGAACTCCAATATGGGCATAATATGTCCTAAAAAAACAAACATAAAAATCAACAAAAACCATGCACAGGTCTTATTTTTATCCCCAAAGGGCTTGAATATTTTAATAGGCTTGATCTATATTAACAGATTATTTTCTACAACCTTGTGCCAATATAGACTCCATCCAAGTATATCATCAGACAAGTATGAGCTCTTTGGCAAGCTATGTTACCTCACTGAGCCTCAAATTCCTAACCTGTCATATAAGAATTTTAGTATCTACTTTATTGGCCAGGGTTGTTGGTTATGAATAATGGGAATTTATTCTTACTCATTTAGGTTTGGAATAAATTTTATGATAGGATTTGAGGAGATTAAAGAATTGCTGAGAAGATCCTTGGACTCCAAAAATGTTGTAGAAACAGAGCAGGAGCTACTGGCCCTATGCACAGTCTTTGAGCTATTATTTTCAGATTCTCATTCAGATGAAATGGGTTGCCAACTCTATACTATGTACCTAAATGGATACTAGTCTTGGGAAAAATGGGGTTACGTGCCAGAGACCACTGGCTGTCTCCCAGAATCTGTTTTCTACTTCCTCTAGAATGAATCCCCCACTCCTTTCTGAATTATTATCTGGGATGAAAAACAGCTACTTTATGATTGCTGTCTGTATATAGGTGACTCTATGACCAGTGTGATTCTGCAATCTGTACAATTAGGATAAATGAGAAATCATACCCCAATGACTCAAATGTATGAATTGCCAAGATCATTGTAATGTCATGTGTAGCTAATAAAATAAAACTAAAAAAGCTACTTTTCTTTGTTCAATCAAATAGAAGAAATCTTTCAACTTGTTATGGTCACACGGCTTCAGTCTGATCTGTGGATTGTTTAACTTCTGCAAAGTGTATATGAAGACAGGAAGTGGTAGGTCCAGCACTTCTATTTCTCCTCATTGCAGATCCACACTCTGGAAATGTTCTCAGGGATGAAATGACTTTAGGAATGGGGAAAAAAGGATGGTAAAGACCAAAACAAAATGAAACAAAATTGAAAAATAAAAAAATTCCCCCAAATAAAAGAGTAAGCTGGGAAACCAATCCCTGACACCATGGAATGCCCTAACCACTTTTTAAAAAAACTTATTTCTTGTCTTTTAACAAGGGAGAGAAACATAACTACATCTTTTAGAAGATACTGTTAATGTGAGTGTTCTGCCTTGTGCAGTCAAGCTGAATGCAAAAACATCCAGATTTTGATATCAATACTCCAAGATTCAATGGTCTGTTAGCAATTTATGTCCAGGAAAATGGTCTTCAGAAGTAAGTGGAGGGTGTCCATGGAACTTAGAGTTAATGTCAGTTCCTTTCCCTTTCCCCCCAGACTTCTTTTGACCTGTCTTTATTTATCCTATCCTACCCCTACTCAGACTCAAGGAAATAAGCTTATACTTCACCTCAAAGTCTTAGAGAAGGAAGAACAAATGAATTCAAAAATCAGTAGAAAACAAGAAATAATAATGATCAGAGCTGAAATGAGTAAAATTGAGAATAAAAAAGCATAAAATACCAGATCAATGCAACGAAAAATGTATTCTTCAAAAGGTTAAGTGAGATTGACAAACCTTTACTTTTACTTTAACAACAGAGAGAAGGCCCAAGTAAACAAAAATGGAGATGAAACAGAAGATACCACCACAGGCACCTCTGAAATCCAGAGGATCATTGGAAACTACTCTGAAAAATTTACTCCAATAAACTGCATTATCTAAAAGATACTGAAAAATTTTGAGACACATATGACCCCAAAAAACTGAACCAGGAAGATATAGAAAATGTAAACAGACAATATCAAGTAATAAAATTGAAACAGCAATTAAAGTCCTCCAACAAAGAAAAACCCAGGACCGGATGGTTTGTCAGCTGAGCTCTAGCAGACAGTTAGACAAGAGCAAACACCAGACATTCTCAAATTATTCAATGAAACGGAGAGGGAGGGAATACTCCCCAATTCATTGTATGAAGCCAGTATAACCTGATACCAAATCCAGATAAAGATACATCAACACATCTAAGAAGGAAAACTACTGAACAATATCCCTGAATGAACATGCATTCAGAAAATCCTTAATAAAATATTAGTAAACCTCATTCAAAAACAAATTAAGAAGGTAATACTCCAGGATTAAGTGGAAGTAAGGTTGGTTCACCACACACAGCACAATATACCAATTAATACATACATAAACATACATAATACACAAATCAATAAGTGTAATTTGCCACATAAATAAGGGATAGGAATCATAGCATCATCCCAATAGGTGCAGAAAAGTTCTTTGGTAGAAATCAGAACCCGTTCATGTTAAAAGTCCTGGAGAAATTAGGGATGGAAGAAACATGCCTCAACAGCATAAAGACTACACAGGACAAAGCCAATTTTATTTAATTTAGTTCTCAGAATTCTAGCTAGAGATCAGACAAGAGAAGGAAACTAAAGGATACCAATAGAAAAAGGAACAATCTCTGTTTACTTATATAATGATCTCATATCTAGAACACCCCCTTCCCAAGAAAAAACCACAAGAAGACTTCTCGAACTGATAAATGAAGACTTCAGTGAGGCAGCAGAATACCATGTCAACGTCCATAAATCAATAGCTTTCCTAATGTGACGCTGCTGAGAATGAAACCAGGACACCAACAACCTCAAAATTTACAATAATACTTGGGAGTTACTAAAACAAAGGAGATGAAAGATCTATATGACAGCAATTATAGAGCACTGAAGAAAGTAATTGAAGGAGACTTTAGAAGATGGAAAGACCTTCCATTTCATGGAT